AAAAATTAAATTTTTTTTCCCAAAAAAAAAAAAAAATAAAAAATTTTTTTTTTTTTTTTTTTTTTTTGATTTCCCAATGGATTCATCATCACCTTGATCATTTTGTTGTTGTTGTATCCAATTGGACCTTGCTTTTCTGTTCATTGGATGATGCAATTTGGAACCCGAGAAGTAGAAAAAAATCGGCCTATATGAAAAAAAAAGAAAAGAAATATCGGTTATTATCGGACACTATGGACTCTTACTCACTGGGTTGTTGTTGTTTTTCTGCTCTTCCCGAATTTATTCTTCAAAATATATTACCCGGCTTCTTGATGTTGTTGTTGTTGAGAAAACTTTTTCTCATTTATAAAAGTTTAAGAAGTGAAGAGAGAATCTAATTTCAGTTTTTTCTTCTTTCAGGGTTTCAATTTCATTATGATGATGATGATGAAAGAAATGAACGAACGAACGAAATAAACGAATTTCATCACTATTCTTTTCTTTTTGTCTCGAATTGATTTCATTCAAAGTTGTTGTTTTCGTTTCGTTTTTTTTGTTTTGTTTTCAATCATTATATCCATCCATTTCATTGACTGTGTGGATAGTAGTAAAGACGTAACAAAAACAAAAATACTAAATTGAATTTTGAGCAGTTCCTGTTGGATCACATTATTATTATTATTATAAAGATTTTCTCGTCGTTTTCGTTTTTGTTTCGGATCCTGCTGGAATCGAATTAAACTATTTTTCGTTTTGTTTCGTTTCGTTTGTTCTCAAACAACAAATAATAATAACACGGGTATCATTTCCAAAACAAAACAAAAAATCCAGTTTAGTTTAGTTTTTCGAATACAATTACGGAATTCGTTCATCACCATTCACTCACTCACTATCGCGATTAAATCGATAGTTTTGTTTTTCACTTGCTATAAATGTTCGAAAACAAAAAAAAAAAAAATTCCGGTTCCATTCATCCATTCGATCCATCATCGATCATCATCATCAATGGCTTTTCATATTAATTAGTTTAGTTTTTTGGTTTGAATCAAACGAAAAAAAAAGAAAAAAACATTTATAAATGTAAAGAATCATCATCATCAATAAAAATACCGGGCGGCACATTTCACCAAATATGGAATGTATAACCATCATCCGAATGATAGAAAAATAGAAAAAAAAATCTTCAAAACATCAGCATATGGTAAGCATCGTTTTTATTATTATTATTATCGTTGTTTAACTATTTGTGTGTTGCATTTATGATCCATAAAGCAGCCTTTGCGAAAAAATTTGTGCAAAAATATTGCCCGATAAGCTTCCAAAAAATGGATTGGTTAGATGGATGGATGGTTTGGTTGGTTTGCCATAAATTTCATAAACAATAATGATCGAATGATTATTTTCATTTCACCAAAACGAGCGAACGAAAAAAAAATTCATTATAATAATAATAATAATAAATATTCATCCAGATGATGATGATGATGATTATTAATGCACCAATGAGAATATATATCATGCATCTATCATTTTCAATTTATAAATAATAATAATAATAATAATCAGTAAGTAATTGTAATAATAATAACAACAACAACAACAACAACAAAACGATAATCAATCCATCTTTTTTTCCATACTTATTATCATCATCATCATTTGCATCCCAGAACAAAAAATTAATCTATTCACCGAAAAAAAATGCCGACAAACATCACACACACATTTAGAATTTTTAATCATAACATCCATAATAATAATATAAATAATGTCTCTCGTATTCGGTATTGACGATGATGATGATGATGATAAAAAGCCAACAGAAGAAAATTCACAATGTTTAATGATAATAATATTCATCGGACCATTTTTCCACCCCATTCAATTTGTTTTGTTTGCCAAATAGATAACCAACCAACCAACCAACCAAAATCATCATTTTTCATTCATATCATTCATGAAACACACACACCAACAAATTGACAACAGAATTTCCACCCACACTCAATCGATCTATCATTTTCAAGGTGGTAGTGGTGGTATTCTAATTGAAATTGATGATCATTTTACTCTTCATTCTTTTTTTTTGGTGCGAAACATAGATAAGATTAGTTAGAATTTGTTTTCATTAATTTATTTATAAAATCATTTTTTTATATAAAAAAAAGTTATAAAATCAATATTTCAAAACAAAAATGATAAAAATTCATTGATGCCATATCATTGTTAGTGTTTTTTTCCACGATTTCTTTGCTGATTTTGACTCTGATTCTGATATTGTTTAGTTGATTGTTTCAGATAATTAAAACATAAATTTGTATGATGTTTTTTATTCTGACAATCCGGATTTAAACATTTTACTTGTCGTCGACATTGTCCCGATGATGATGATAATTCACAATGATCATATGAAAAACAATGGCTACATCGATTCAATTCGATTGCACGTTTTATACGTAAATCAATTGAATTATATTGATTACATAGATGATCTTGATGACCAAAACGTTCACAGAATAAACATTGATGATTTTTTAAATTATTTATCATCGATTCATCATTATTCATCATTGGATTCTGTTTCTTAATCGACGATGATGATGATGATGATGATTGATTCGATTGTTGACCATCATTCAATGATAATTGTTCGAGTTTCTTGTCAGCCAAATTATTATCGTCTTGTTGTTTTGGTTGTTGTGGTTGTCCAGTTTGTTTTCGAAATTCATTGTATGCATTACGTAAAACATCTAAACATTTTTCCGAGGAATTAATTGAATCGTCTGTGACGGTTGTTGTTGTTGCTGTTTCTAAAACAAAATTCAAATTTTCAAATTTTTCAAATCAAAAACTAAACTAAAAAAACCAAACCTTTTAAATTTAATGGTGGTGGTGGTTTTGTCCAATCCATATCTTTTGGTATTTCAGGTTTTTCACGATATTTTCTTTTCGCGTTATCATTGTTCGCCGATGATGATGATGATGGTGGTGGTATTGGTGGTGATTGAATGGATGGTTTTGGTAACAATTTTATCATTTTATCATTATCATCATCATCAATGTTGACAATGTGATTGCTTGAATTATTCAATGGTGATTTGTCATTCATAATGATCGGTTTTGGCTTCTGAATTGATTCAACACGTGGTTCGGGTGACAAAATAATATTGTTTACCGATGATGATAATGATGGTGGCGGTGATGATTTTGTCCGGATTGATATTTTCGAATGATTATGATGGCCATCGATATTATTACCATTACCATTACCATTATCGTTACAAGATTGATTAAAATAATCAACAATCATATCGATTGATTCATTTAACATTTGATTATATAACCATGATTGTTTACTATCATCAGCTGTACGATTTAATCGACGATCCCATTCTTGTAGATTATCTTTCAATTGTCGTAGATTACTATATTCATCCAATAGACCACGAATATTTCGTTTAGCAATCATCGAATCAATACATTCGACAACAATATCAATATGTCGACGGGCATCTTGACGAAAAATATCCAAAATAGATAAATCTTCAAGATGTACATATGATACTGGAACTTTAATAAGATTATTATTCATTTTTCAATCATCCAATATTTGATAGATTTTATAACATAAATAATGATCCATGGATTTTAACACGTACTTGTACGGTTGGGTGTGTAACCGCGGTGTAACTTTTGTTTATCAAAAAAAAACAAAACAATTCATGTAAAGTATCGCCATCTAGTGTGCAATAAATTTTTGTGAAAAATATAAATTTTTTTTTTATTTATTTGATTCAAAGAAGAAAAGAAAAAAATATAATCATCATTATTTATTGATAATGTCTGTGTGTAAATGTATATCGTATGCATGTAATTTATTTTTAATATTTTTTTTTATTGTTATAAAGAAGATATAACATGATGATGATCGAAATTGTAATGATCGATTTTTTTTAAATCTATATTTGCGATGACCATCACCCAAAGAAAGAAAGAACAAAAAGAAAAGAAAACAGAATTGAATAAGATGATGATGGTGACGAAAGAAAGAAAGAAAAAGAACGAAAGGGAAAAAGGATTTGTTGTTTTTTGTTGTCGTCCAAATGCAAACTCGGCCGATGTCGTTGAGAAATTATCATTATTCAATCAATCCAATCAATTATTTAATCACTTGGCCTTTTTTCAGCAAATTTTTTCGTATAATCTTCAGCATTTTTAAAGAATTTTTTTCTATCTTTAATATATTCTTCAGCCAAATCGGTACGTAATGGATGTTCAGGTTCAGGATCATTAACTAAAGCAATTAATGCTTGTATCACTGGAATTTTTGGTAGAATTGTTATTGTTAAAAGTTTTTTTAAGAAAAATTATTTACCTTGTTCGGTACGTGTAGCTGGTTTCCAATTTTCTGGCTGTATAATTGGTAAACAGATTTGTCCTTTTTCATCAATATTTGGATGATAGATTTTTGTTTTGAACGTTATTTTTGGTGGCTTAAATGGATATTCAGCAGGAAAATTTATCTCGATACGAAATGCACCACGATTATATGGTACATTATCCTGATAATGTGTGTAATAATAATCATCATAGTCATCTGCGATTTTTGAAAAAAAAACTTACCGGAACTACCAGACCAGACCAACAAAGTATATTGTGATCATCAACCATAATATCACGAAAACAACGCATACCGGGTCCTTTACATTCTTTCAATTCTTGTAATTCCTTTGATGATAATTAACAGAAATAAAAGATGCTTTTTTAATCATCACAAAACAAAACAACGTGTTATTTTACCTTTTGAAGACGACGTGTTGCAGTCATTTTTTGTTTTGTGTTTTGTTTGTTTGGATGATAATGATCCCAAAGAAAAGAAAAATTTTACGAAAAAATGATTTCTAAAGGATCAAATTGTTGTTAAAGTAAAGTAAGGATTCTGATATCACAGCAAAAAAATATATGCTAAATAGATAAATATGATGATGATTCACCACACCACACCAATTCGAATCTAATCGTTTTTTTAAATTCCTAAGTGATTAATTAACTTTTTAAAAGGGTTGTATTCAGGTAATTAGTGATGGTTTGGTTACTGAAATTTTTTCAAAAATTATTTTTATCGTGGAACCCAAAAAAATTGAAAAACATAACAGAACAATTGATGACATTGATGACATCAGATGATGATGATGATGATAATTGTTTTCATCATCAAACAAACAAACAAACGAAGAAGAAAAGAAGGGAATGCGAGTCACACATAAACACACCACACCACACACTTATCATGCAATGTGAACGACCACTACTACTGCTATACGACAAAGAGAAAGAGATATGCATGCCACTTAACACTATCGATAGTGATGAACGAATTTGGCCGTTGCTTTTTTTTGGATTCAAAACAAGCATGCGTATTTGGTGAATCATTTCGAAAAACGTAAAGCGGTCGTTTTGATTGGTCATTGCCAGACAACCAGAAGGAGGCAGGTCTTGTCTTAAAAAAACTGACTTTTTTTGTGTGTTGTGTTGCTTCAACTTTGACTTTTGAAAAAAATTATTCGTTCGTTTCAAATTTCTAAATTTGTTTTTGGTTTTGGTGATTTGATCAAGTTCCGAAAAATAAGAAGAATGGCGACAGAATCGACCGGTCAAAATAATGAAAAACGTTTATTCATTCCGGATACATCGACAACGACAATGGGTGAAAAATTACGAACAACAACCGAAGATATTTGTCTTGAAGCTGGTTATTATCTACATAAAAAACCATTAGGTGAAGGTGGTTTTGGTAAAGTACGTTTAGCAACACATTTACGTACAAATCAAAAAGTAGCAATCAAAATGATGAATAAACAAAAATTGGGACAAGATTTACAACGTGTTCGTATTGAAATTGAAGCATTAAAAGTTTTACAACATGATAATATTGCTAAAATGTTACAAGTTATTGAAACTGATACGGATATTTATTTGGTTCTAGAATATTGTAGTGGTGGTGAATTGTTTGATTATTTGATTGCTAAACGTCGATTAACCGAAACTGAAGTTCGTGTTATTATGAAAGATTTATTTAAAGTTTTACTTTATATTCATAATCGTGGTTTTGCACATCGTGATCTGAAACCAGAAAATATTCTATTCGATCAGAATCATAAAATTAAATTGATTGATTTTGGTTTGGCTGCTAATTCTTCGGTGAGTCTTCTTCATCAAGCGGGTAATTCGCTAAATGTTTGTTTATGTTTTTTTCTCTCATTTCGTTAGAAAAACAAAGCAGCATTATCATTTTTACAAACTTGTTGTGGAAGTCCAGCATATGCTGCACCTGAATTACTTCGAGGACTTACATATTCTGGTCCGGCTGTTGATGTTTGGAGTGCCGGTATCCTATTATATTCACTTTTGGTTGGCCAATTACCATTCGATGATGATAACATTAATAATTTGTATAAAAAAATTCAAGATGGTCGTTTTATGATGCCACAATGGCTTTCGGCTGATGTTCGCGATCTAATCGCATCAATGTTACGTTCAAATCCAGCCGATCGTATTACAGTTGCTAAAGCATTGGATCATCGTTGGATTCGTAAAGGATTTACAAGTCATTCACCATCGATGCCACCACCAATTCCATCGCATGGTCCATTATCACCTGCTACAATTGATTCGAAAATATTTTCCTATCTTCAACAATTATTTCCTCGAATGACCGATTTGGAATTACGTCGTCGTTTAAAATTATTTGGCTATGTAACGGCTACATATTTATTACTTAAACATGATCCACAAGCTATTCAGGTAAGTTTGATTGATTGATTGAAACAGCAAACAACTTTAATGGGAAAAAAATTTTTCAGGCCGTAAAAGAATCATTACAATTACGAATGAAATCATTAGCACAACAGCAACAAGAATTATCCGGTTTGGTTAAAAAATCTGAAAATCTTATTGTTGAGCCACGTATTGCTGCCATAAAACGTAAATTACAACTTGATTGTAACGATACGATCAATTCACAACAGCAACAACAACAACAAACAGATCAAACCGAACCAATGACCAAAAAAGTTAAAGAAATGATTTCAACACCGAAAAAGACATTATTATTGAATGGTATTAATTCAACAACGGTTACACCGAAAATTCCACCACCATTATTAACTGAACGTAAACAAATGCTGATAAATAGTGCTAAATGTCATCAATCACCTGCATTATCACCACGTGTACCAATGAGATTAACACCACAAAAAGCTCGACAAATTAAATCACCAAAACTACAGAAACCAATGAATGATGAAAATTCGGTATCGATTAAGGCAAAAACTTTGGTGAAAAGTCCATTGGCTAACAATAATACTAATGGCGGTGTTACAACCATAAAAAGTCCATTACGAGATGTGTGTAATCAGGTTTTATCGCCAACGAATAAACAACAACAACAAATCAAACCATCACCGAAAATAATGCTAAATACACCGACTAAAACATCATCATCGACAAAAAAATCATTATTGCAACGTTTAATGGCATCAGCAACACCAACATCCAGATCAAATACCCCAAGAAAATTAGATACATCAATGCCATCGAATAATATAACGATGACATCGTATAAAGAACCACAAGAATGTATTGATCATTTAATACATACATTACGTTCAAAAGGTGTTGATTGTAAACAGAAAAAGTATGTATTACAAAAAAATCATTATTATCATCGAACATTTATCAAACGTAAACGAACATTTATTGTACGACAAAATTATAATAATCGATCAAAACTAAATTATCCATCAACGATATCGACCAGTAAATGGAAACGATTAACATTTTTAGTTAATCGTAAACAGTGTTTGATCAAACAACAACCAAACAAACCTGATTATCTTGAATCTATTTGTTGACTTTTAAACATTCTTCTGTGATTTTATTTTATTCATAGGATTTTAAATTAAAAAAACCATCATCAGATTTGGTTTTGATTCGATCGATCGATAATGTTCGCTTGTTTTTGTTTTGACAATTCCCTTTGATTAACGATTTTTATTATTTTTTATTTCTTTCCACCCTTTGTTCCCCCTTTCTTTTACTCCCCAATATTAGTTTTACCTTGAAATGTTTTTTCAACGACAAAATTCATTCATCATTAAAATTTGATTTAGAAATTTGTCAATTTAATGGTCTTTGTGTTATACATCGTAAACGTTTAAATGGTGATGCTTGGAATTATAAAAAAATTTGTGAATTAATTTTACAATTAAGTAATGAACAACAATTGGCTGCATTGAATAATGATGCTAAGAAATCGACGACCATACAGCCACAGCAACCGATTGAAACCGAAACCCGCGTTTGATAATTTGCCAACCACCCAAATATAAATCGATAACCCTTTTTCCAAAAAATATCTAATTTATTTCATAATTTTTTGATTAAATTTAACCATCATTAGGTAATCCTTTATTTACAAGTTTTTTGATTGTTTGTTCATTTGTTTACAGCTTTTTTCTTTTGTTGTTGTTGTTGATTATCATCATCATCATTTTGATCTTCAATTGTAGGATCATCATAACCATCAATATGATTCCAAAATGCAATAGGGAATTTTTCCGGTGATGGTTCCGAAAAGATTAATATTCTTGATAGAAAATCATATTGTACACCTTGTCCAGGACGATTTGCGTCGATAGTTTTCAATAGATATTCAAAATTTTCTTCCAATTCGCCATCGGTTTGTGATAAACGACCAAATGGTATTTGTATCGAACCATAATCCGGTTCCAAATCATCTTTAATCATTTTGAATTCAATTCCATTAACAAAATTCCTAACTAAACGTTCCATATCGAAACCAATATTACCACGTTGTTTTGTTGGAAAATAATTACCAACAATATTACGTATATTATTCAATTCAATCAACATATCACCATGACAAACTAAATCATCAAAATTATCCAATGTTATATCACCGATTTTTAACATTCGAATAATATCATTTGAACCAGCTAATTCAGCACCAGCTTTCCGTGCTTGTTCTTCATCTTCATCCGATTTACAAAGGGCAATTATTTTACGTTTAACACCATACCGGAATAGATTTGGATATGAAACAATACCGGTAAAACTACCGACAAATTTTGTCTTTTTTTTCGTACGTAAATCTAATTCAATACGTGCTTCAACTAATGCATCTGGTTCGCCATATAATTCGGGTTGATGTGTTTCACGTATCATATCCATTACCGTATTTAATGGATATTTTCGTTCTTTATATTGATCCATAACAATAACATTGTCTACGATTTCGGATAAATTTTTCCGATCCGAATCGGAAAATTTTTTACTCACAGCTTTTAATGATTTATCAACGGATAATTTTTGTGGTTTCCATATTTTTGGTGGTGCTATTTTCTGTTCTTCACGACGTAAACGTGCTAATTTTTGTTTTTCACGTGTTGCCGCTATACGTTTACCTTTTCTAGCGGCATAACGTTTCTAAATTTTTAATGATGTAAAAAAAACATAAGAACTTGCAGCAATTCTGAATTTTTACAAATTACTTACCTGGTCAACTAATAAACAATTTCCGGCATCAAGGTTCAATATGAATGGAGAAATTGTTGATGCTCGATATAATGCTATGAATCAAATACAAAAAAAAGAATTAAGTATGAATATTGATCATTGTAGATCAATTTACCATTTCGAGTGAATGATTGATAACAACATTGTAAAAATGCCATAATTCAATTCAAATTCAATTTTTTTTTGAAAAAAAATTCATTCAGAAATGAATCGAATGCAAAAAAATATACGCAACTATTTCAACATTGATCACATGTTCAAAATCAATGACAATCAAGGTAGAAATTGAATCGAACAACTTGTTGATTGCGATGTCGATGATCATCAATGATTTTTTTGTTGTTGTTGGTTCGTTTTGTACGCTTTTTTCAAACATTTTTTTATCTTTTTGGTTGATTGAACGACGACGACGATCAATATACTGTGCGTGTAAACAATACAAAATAATCAACATTTTGGTCCCACTTATCATTAGCATTTTAATCGATCAATTGGCTTTGAAAAAAAAATTTCCTGTCAATGAAAAATATCAAAAACAACAAAAACGTTGGCGGTGAAATACAAAAAAAAAACGAAACCAAACAATCATTGTCATCCTCATCATCAAGAAAAAATATCGATAGAAAAACGGTTCGAATGGTTGTTTGTGTTTGTCTGTTTGATTGATTGATTGATGTTGGCATTCGATCAATTATTCAGCCTTTCATCATCATCAACATTATCATCATTTTAATATAGAATGTGTATCACCGATACGAATGATCATCTGATCATCATCATCAATGAAAAATGTTTTTATTATTTTTATTTAAACCGATGGGTAATCTAATTGTATTTATTGTAAAATTTTACCTATCCATTTGGTTCCTATTTACATTTTCGATATTTGTTTATGTTTGTCTTTATAATTGGTTAATACCCAGCTATAGTATCGAAGAGGCAATATTTTTTCATCATGATGTTGCCTGTAAACAACATATGATGCATACAACATTATATAATTATCATCTGCAACAATTACAACAATATTCATCATCATCATCGGATAATTATCATCCACTACCATCATCATCATCACCTCCATTGATGACCGATCAACAATATTCACCAATCAATATAATGACCAAATGTCAAAATGTTCAATACGATATTCCAAATAAAAATTATCGAAATTTTTTCCACCGTGGTCATATTTATTATTTTGAATTACAATTACGTATGCCTGATTCACAAGTAAATCGTAATCTAGGAATGTTTATGATACGTTTACGTTTGTTTGATCAACATGATAATGAAATTTATGATATTTATCGACCAGCTATTCTACCATATACAAGTTGGTTATTATCATTAGCTAAAATGATCGCCTATATTCCATTATATTTGATTGGTTGGCTAACAGAAACCTATACGATAAAGATAAAATTATTAGATCAACATGCTGATTTGGAACATTTAGATTTTTCAAGAATTAATCGTATCCGATTAGAAATTGAAACATTAAAATCAATCGAAATAATACCACCAAGTCGTTTGACAATTAGTGTTCATTTGGAAGGTATAAAATATTGGATGTATTTTTGGCCATTATCAACATCAATTGTTATTATTGGAATTTTATTCGCCGTTCTTTTATTACTTTATCTTTGTAAAATTATACGAAAACCTAGAAAATCAAGAAATTCAAATAATAATAATGATGATAATAATACTATTAATAATGTTGATAATAATGTTGATGATCGTGTTTCACAATTCTTTAATGATTCAAGCATTTTTGATCAACCTGATTCAACATCATCATCAACAAATTGTAATCATCATCATCATCATAATCATCGTCAACATTTATTACAACCAAGATCTCGTCATCAATCTCAATGAAGAAAACATAAACTGAAAAACTGAACCATCATTCATTTGCTCAATTCCGGTGTTTTTTTTCCTGTATTATCTGTCATGTCATCTCTCTCTCTCACGCTCCCGAAAAATCAATATGCCAAAAAACACTATTGTTTTTATGGTGTGTGTGGATAGTATTATTATTCGTTAATTATTAATTGTTGTGTACATAAAACAAAAAAAATACTCCTAATAATAATGGTTATAATTAACTAATTGAATTAATTACTTTAATTATTAAAAATGCCAAAGTTTTTATTAAAATTCTAATTAAATTTTTTATTGATTCTGATGAACAAAAAGTTTTGATTATCAATGTTAAAAATACTCTTTTTTTGGATGATGTGTGCCATCATCATGTAATTTTCTATTTAGTTAGTTCAATTCAATTCATTTCCTTTCAGGTCATAGACACAGGACACAAAGAAACTGGGCGATTGCCATCAATTCAAATCAACTTCTATAAATGGAATTCACTAAAAAAAACTAACAAAATGGACACACACATAGCATTCAACTCTCTGAAGAAAATCTCATCATTTCTTTAGTTCTTCAGTTTTTTTGGCAATAAAATAAGGAAATTTCATTGAACTTTGCAAAAAACATTTTTCTTTTCTCAATCTTCTTGCTTCTTCATGTTCATCAGCAATGAACATTCGAATACAGTGTTGTAATGTATTCAAACAGGGAGCCATTTAGTTTTGAAATTCGGTTAATATTTCTCTTTTTTTTACAAAACGAAAAAATCCGGTAAAAAAAATGACTCATCATCATCATCATCATCAACGAATCGAACGTTTGGTGTGGCTGGCCGCCATCATCATCATCATGTTTTGTAACCGATTTTCTTTGTCGTTTTCTGATTGGCTATTTGCAAAAAAAAAATACTGCAGTGCAAACAGCGCTTGCGCGTTTTGATTTTCTTTTTCGTTAACGATTGTTTCAAACGCCACGTTTCGTTCGAATTGAATTAATTCATGCCACTACTACAAGCACCTTGAACGTCGCATTACTGAATAAATGAATGCTGCTAGCAAATTTTTTTGTAATAATAAAAAATTTACAACGGTTACGCAGCTCTTTCTCCTCCTTCTACTCGTTCGCCACTCATTTTTCATTTTTCGAACGTTTTTTTTTTGTGTATAAATTCTCAACGTTGCCAAATCGAGCTGCCATTTTTGTGCTGATTGTCGTTTTGTTTCTTTCGATTCAATTCATCTCGTTCGATTGTAAAGGCTTCATTGCTGCCTCTTTACAATTTTCGATCTAACAAAAAAACCGACTTTTTTTTACAATCTTTATCATAATTTTTCTTGAAATTTACCTCAAATTTTTTGATTTTTTTCTTAAATTAATTAACTAAACAAATCCGGTATGTATCCTTTTTATATGGGCGAAAAAGAAACTTGGATTTTTTTTCTTGTCCACTTTGTTTGGGCGTCGCCCTTGTCCGTTTTCAATTTAGGTTAATAATTTTTTTGTTGTTCGTTTCCATTAGTAACCGAAAATGCGTGAATGTATCTCAGTTCATGTTGGTCAAGCTGGTGTCCAAATTGGTAATGCCTGTTGGGAATTGTATTGTTTAGAACATGGTATTCAGCCTGATGGTCAAATGCCATCGGATAAAACTATTGGCACTGGTGATGATTCTTTCAATACATTTTTCTCCGAAACTGGATCTGGCAAACATGTTCCACGTGCTGTTTATGTTGATCTCGAACCAACCGTTGTTGATGAAGTTCGAACTGGTACCTATCGACAGCTATTCCATCCTGAACAATTGATTACTGGTAAAGAAGATGCTGCCAATAATTATGCTCGTGGTCACTATACAATCGGCAAAGAAATTGTTGATTTGGTTTTGGATCGTATCCGTAAATTATCGGATCAATGTACCGGATTACAAGGCTTTTTGATTTTCCATAGTTTTGGCGGTGGTACTGGTTCTGGTTTCACTTCATTGCTTATGGAACGTTTATCAGTTGATTATGGTAAAAAATCTAAATTGGAATTTGCCGTATATCCAGCACCACAAGTATCGACAGCTGTCGTTGAACCTTACAACAGTATTCTTACCACTCACACTACCCTCGAACATTCGGATTGTGCTTTCATGGTCGACAATGAAGCCATTTACGACATCTGTCGACGAAATTTGGATATTGAACGACCAACCTACACTAATTTGAATCGATTGATTGGACAAATTGTATCATCAATCACTGCTTCGCTTCGTTTTGATGGTGCACTCAATGTTGATTTGACTGAATTTCAAACCAATTTGGTACCATATCCACGTATTCATTTCCCATTGGTAACCTATGCACCGGTTATTTCGGCCGAAAAAGCCTATCATGAACAATTGACTGTATCGGAAATCACCAACACTTGTTTCGAACCAGCCAATCAAATGGTTAAATGCGATCCACGTCATGGTAAATACATGGCCTGTTGCTTATTGTATCGTGGTGATGTTGTACCAAAAGATGTGAATGCTGCTATCGCTTCAATCAAAACAAAACGATCCATTCAATTTGTTGATTGGTGCCCAACTGGTTTCAAAGTTGGTATCAATTATCAACCACCAACTGTTGTACCAGGTGGTGATTTGGCTAAAGTACAACGTGCTGTTTGTATGTTGTCCAACACTACTGCCATCGCTGAAGCTTGGGCTCGATTGGATCATAAATTTGATTTGATGTACGCTAAACGTGCTTTCGTTCATTGGTATGTTGGTGAAGGTATGGAAGAAGGTGAATTTAGCGAAGCTCGTGAAGATTTGGCTGCTCTTGAAAAAGATTATGAAGAAGTTGGTTTGGATTCTACTGAAGCCGATGATACTGCTGGCGAAGAATTCTAAAATGTGTGAGCGACCATCACCACAGTAAAGAAAAAGACCACCATTTTTTTTAAAAAAAAAACATCCAATTTTAATCCATTTTTTTCAAAAATCCTTTTTATCAATTTAGACAATTTGATTTGTATTTTCGATTAGTATTTCTTGATCATTAAAAACAATATGGTGTGTCTATCAATTCAATATTTAAAAAAAAAATGATAAAATAAAATTTGATTTTTCAAAATTCTAATTACAACCATACATTGCATTAATATTAATAATATCACCCGTTGAAAGTGATTGTTTAAAATGTGATTCACGTAATTTAATAGAATGATTTTTTGGTAACATTGTTGGTCGACCATTTCTGCTAAATGCATATGATCCATAAATCATTATAGAATTATAATCAAAATGATATGCTGGTTTATATTCTTGAATCGGTATACGAATAAATTGTTCCAGCATTTCTGGTTGAATATTTGACCATTGTATTTGAAGATATTGATCACGATCATAACGCATATGTTCATGATAAAGGCCAATTGTATGACATAATTCATGTATTATACTACCAATATCATGACAACCATTACCTAATGATAATAATTGTACACCACCATTATTACCAATACGGCCAACAATCGAATGACAACCATCACCAGCAATTAATTTTACATAATTTTGTTGTGTTTTACGTTGTCGAAAACGTATACAGGTATTTTGTTCAATTTGTTTCATTGCTTGTAATATTATTGAACGATATGGTCGTAATTTTCGTGAAATCTGATATGGAATTTGACCATTAGGCCATCGACGATGTTGTTGATTATTCACTCTGCCAATTCGTTTGTTGTTGTTGTTGTTTGATTGTCGTATCGCTGATGATAATTGGAATCTACCACCACCACCACCACCATTATTAGCCACGTATAATCGATTGATATTGATTGATTCGGTTGAATCTTCATCATAGTCAAACATTGATTTTGGAACATTTAATAAAATAATTACCATTATAATTGCCAGTAATAACGATAATGATTGACAATTATACATGGACTATACATTATTATCGTCGTCGTCGTCGTCGCTAATCAAACTATGAATTGATTTTGAATGATTTTGAATTAAAAAAATCAAATTGAATTGATTGCCGCATCATCATTTTCATTAACATCATTGTCAATCGTTGAACGTCATTAAATCGACCGGTGATCAAACAAAATTTCGCAACGATTTCACAATGATTCACATTTTCATTATTTGAATATTTCAGATTTTCAATGTTTTTCTGCTTTTTATTTGATCACATGTGTTTCAGTTTATTCGGTGTGTTTGTGTGTGAAAATGAAATAATTTCCCATCACCAGATTCTTCAAATCCATCAATATTGATGATTTTTGATCCTGGAACAACAACATTCAATGATCGATTCGTTTATTTGCACTCACCATGAACCTAATTGACCTAGATTTTCATCAATGATTAATCAAATTTCTCGCAATGAAACTACAAAAAAAAATGTGAGTGATAAAGGGTTAATTTTATTCATTTTCATCATTAAATAGATTTAGTAATCATTTTTGTTTTTGAAAATTCTTGTTTTTAACTATTGACTTCTTCTACTTTGTCTACTACTATTATGTCTACTACTACGTCTACGTTTACGATGTCTTTGTCGTCCTCGTCGTCGTCTTCTTGATCTAAATGTTGCCGGTTGTGTTGATGATGATCGTCTTCGATGATATCGTCCAATACGATTCAATAGATTATTATCACGACAAACTAAATAATGTAATAAAAGATAACTATTATAAATTGATGATAAACGTTCAAAACGACGATGTTCACGACGATATTTTTTTTCATATGTATCAATCATAATACGTTCAGCCATAGTTATTGTTTTTAATGAATCTACACCACCGCTTGTTACTGATGATACATTACGATCCGAATCAATACGATGTTCAATCGATTGATCACTTGATCGATGTAATGATAAACTAGTACGTGCATGTTGTTCACTTGAACGATAATCGTCCATATCGTTTATTTGTTAATAAGGGTTGTTGAATTACAAACCAGAAAAAAAAACAGAATTATAGACACTAAGTGAAACAGAAAAACAAAAAGTTTATTTATTTCAATGGAATTTTTTCTCTAATAATCAAATTATCAGATATTTGTGCTTATTTCATTCATTCATTTTATGGAAATGATTTTTTTTTGTTGTAATTTTTTCAATTATTAATAATAATCATACCTATCTAATGATAATCAAATAAATAAAATTCAATCCAACTACTAATAATAGTGTATATTAACAATTTGAATGCCAATTTGTTTCTTATTTGTTGACTACATTTTATAGATTAATTTCAGTATGATTGTTGTTTAGTTGTTGTTGTTGTTGTTTATCATGTAAACGTGTTTCAGCCATTAAATTAATACCATTCAAATGAACAAATGCAGCCAATACAACCAATATATGAAATATTTGATGTGATTGAAACATATAATCACATCTACCAGGGAATAATCTTTCCGGTATACGATTAGCATATAATAATGATCCAATAACATATAATGCTCCTTGTAATATAAATAGATAATATGCTGTTAATAAATGTGAATCCAATATTATATACCAATGTATTCCGGGTATAACATTCGATAGACCAAAACATAAGAATACCATAGCACGAAAACCACGATAACGTGGTTCACCAAATTTATCCCATAATGATACAGCAATCGATAATATACATAATACAACACCAAATGATATATATAATTTAAACATATTTAAATCTTCATAGAATCCATAATATAATGCCGGTGTCATTGAACCAATAATCTGTATGGATATACCACAATAATCAAGTTTGGAAAATATTTTGATAACTTTTGGTGATGCATAACAACTAAATGTATGAAACATACAGGAAAATATTAGACAAGTAATTATGCCCGAAAAATATATTGTTAACATTAAACGATCAACAGCCGTTTTATGTGCGCTTATTGTAACAAATTCATATATAAATAAACCGACAAATAATAATGCACCAATACCATGTGTCCAAATATTACCAGTTTCAGTATGTAAACGAAATATTGATTTAATACATTCCCAAAATGTTGGTAATGGTGGCCGATGACCAGTATGTAAATATTCATTATCTTGCATCCAATTTGGTAACATATTAAAATTACAAACTTTCCAAACAGCACCGGTTGCTTGGCTAACAGTTTTTGTTGCATGACCAACAGTTTTACCAGCTAATTCTCTTGCTTGTATCCATTCCGAGCATAAATAATCATAACCATTTTCAAATTGTTGCCGTAATGAAAGACTACGTCGATGTCCTTTTGCCTGTGCATTCGTTGTTGTTGATGATGATGATGGTAATCGACGATTATTATTGAATGGTGTTGTTGTTGGCGATGATGATGATGTAAGAAAAACAGAAGAAGAAGAACATGAAAATTTCAATTGATTTAATAATGAACGTAATGATGGATCATTTTGTAACATATCGATAAGTATCGATTCATCAAATTTGTTATTAGTATTATTTTTTGACTGTTGACGACGACAATCATCATCATCATCATCAATTTGGTTAGTTTTGTTTGTAAATACCTCATTTGGATTTTGTTTAGCATCTTGTTGTTGTTTATCACATGGTATACCATTATTATTATTATTCAATGGACATTGTTCACAAATATGTTCTTCATCCAATTCCATACAATCATTTGTTGATTGAATCATTGTTTTTCTTTGTATTAAATCACTATTGACTTCGCTACGTTTACGTATACGACATAATTCATCATCATAATTACCAAGTGATAGACTACGATGATGATTATGCTGTGGATTCGAACATTTTGATGGTGGTGATTTTGATGGTGGTGTAGCGTATTTTTGCATTTTGTCAGTTATCTATCTTCAGTCAGTTGTGTGCAGTTGTGGATAAAGTTGAGAAAAAAATCGAATCAAAAAAGAAAAAAAAATATCAAATTAGAGTCGTTACAATAACAAAATAAAACGATAATAAAGAAAAGAAAAAATTTAATCAAATTAATAAACGTTTGGTCCTTTTTTGCGCTCCGCCTTTCCAAAAAAAAAAAAAAAAAAATTGATTCGATCGATCAATCGATTGTTTGATTATCGAACCTGCCATAAACAAGAGAAAACTTATCAAAACAGAGGGCCATGATGAAATGTCATTCGAATAAAAAAACAAGTCGACTTAACGACAAGAATATGCTATTTATTAGTTTTTTTGGACGACCACACCTGATTATGTCTCATTATTGTTGATTATTTTGGAACACCATATTTAAATAGGTCAAATGGCAAGGATTGAAAACAAATGAACATACATAGAAGAAGCACACTTACCCTTTGTTTAATGGAAAAAAACAAAACAGGGTTAAGATTTGCAAAAAAAAAGATTGGATTTGTGCGTTTGATAATCAATAAAGATTATTGAAGAAAAAAAATTATCAAATAACTATCATTCGTAACAAAAATTGGAATGATCAAAAAAAAAAAAGAAATTGGAATCAATGTTTCTTGTATCAAGATGCGAAAATAATGCGAATAATGGAATCATCCGAAAATTCATGTCAAGTCATGTACGACGGCAACGACAACAATAACAACAACAAAACATTACCTAAATGTTGATAAAATTATGTATATTGAAAAATTGAATCATGAATGTCTCATATGATCATGTGTGCACCTAACACTTTTGATGATGATGATGATATATAAAAATCCAAAGTGCAATGTGTCTATTTTGACTAATATTTTTGTTGTTAATTTTCCTCTTTGTTTTTGTTATTGTTGTTGTTAATATCATCATCCAATACTACTATCACATGATATGGTATGCATCATAAATATATACCACTACTACTTATTACATGATAATTGTATAGGATTCAGTTCCAGTGTACAAATGTTTGTTATATGTAGAAACAAAAAAGACTATTTTCATTTGAATGACTATTTACACGTTTGTGGCTATTTTTTTTATTTTTGTAACAAAGATTCGAATTTTGTATTCATTTGGATTTTCAACAAGTTGATGATAAAATATTTTTGAAAGATGTTAACCTTGAAATTTTGATATTCGTTAATAAGAATATCATAATTAATTAGTTTAATGTACGAATCTTGCGATAAATCTTCTGTTGCTGTTCTTTTTTTTGTCTTCAATTTTATCAATACTTTTTTCTTGGAATGAGAGAGGGGAAAATATAATGATAATAATAATTTTACGACAGTGAAACATGAACATTTTGGCATCAAACATGATTACGTTTCAAACGATCATTTATTAACGTCATATGATTAACATATATCATATTTTGATGCTTTAAAAAAGAAATAAATCCAGTTTTTTCAATTCAATTCATATAAATTGAAATGTTTGTTATCAGTTTGAATGGTATTCCTTTGGATTCTTGTTTAACGAAGTTGATTAAATCAAATAAAAAAAACAAAAAAAAAACAAAAAAAAATCAAAAAATTAAAAATGTCAACACATTCATCATTGATAATGGTTTCCATATTGGTTATATTAACCATACAATCAACAAATGGTGCAAAAAATCAGACTGCAAAAATCTGTGATAAACAACGTGTGGATGAATGTGCCATTTCATTGTCATTGTTAACAGATCCGGAATTATTGAAAGATCCACCAAAAACATTAGCCGATATGGAAAAATATTGTCGAAAATTCAAACAATCAACAACATGTGTACGAGAATATTCGGAAAAATGTTTAGCCGATCAATCACGACGTACATTATCAATAATAATGTATAGTATGACTAAAACAATGCGACGTTATTGTAGCCGAACAAAAGGTAAACAAGAATGGCTTAATCTAGTCAATTGTGTTGGTGATGATCTACCAATTTATTCAAAACATTTAATCGATTTATCTGCTGATATGCATGCAATACGTACAGCTAAACCGAAAAACATGAGAATTCCATTATGTTGTTGGTAAATTTTACTAATTTAAATTTAAAAATCATCATTTTTATCATTTTCATTTTCATTTAGTGCCTATCAACGACGAAAAGAATTTATAATGGAACAATTGGAAAGTAAATGTTCAAGTTATATACAATGGATAGAAGCATTCTTACAAGGATTTACTGGTGATCTGTTCAATTATGCTTGTGGTGAATATAATGAAGATAATGATAAATGTAAAAATATTATTGGTAAAATCAAACCATGGAAAAAGCCATTAGAATGGAAAAGTTTCATTGTACCAACCGTTGAGATTATTGATAGTCTTTAATAATACTGATAATAATGATGATGATTTTTTTGCAAATAATTTTACAACAGCAAAATGATTATATTGGCATTTCTTGGAATAAGGGCCTTTTTTTGTTTTTTAAATAAATAAATAAATTAAAATGATTACGTTTCAAATGTTTATTTATTATTATTAACGTCATATGATTAGCATATCAAGATTTCTAAAAAAAATCCGGTTTTTTTCTTCTTAAAATTTAATTCATATAAATTGATATGTTTGTTTGATCAGTTTGAATTGGTATTCAATTTGATTCTTGTTTGATGATGAATTTGATGTTTAACAAACCAAAAAAAAAATAAAAATATGTCAATATATTCATCATTGATATTCATCGTTGCCATATTGGTTATTATATTAACCATACAATCAACAAATGGTGCAAAAAATCAGACTGCAAAAATCTGTGATACAAAACGTGTGGATGAATGTGCCACTTCATTGTCATTGTTATCGGATGCTGAAGTATTAAAACATCGACCAAAAACATTGGCCGATATAGAAAAATATTGTCGAAATTTTAAACAATCAACAATTTGTGTACGAGAATATTCGGAAAAATGTTTAGCCGATCAATCAAGACGTACATTATCAATAATAATGTATAGTATGACTAAAACAATGCGTCGTTATTGTGGCCGTACAAAAGGTAAACAAGAATGGCTTAATCTAATCGATTGTGTTGGTGATGATATGCCAAATTATGCAAAACATTTAACCGATTTATCTGCTGATATGCATGCAATACGTACAGCTAAACCGAAAAACCTAAGAATTCCATTATGTTGTTGGTAAGTATAATAATTAAAAAAAATCGTCATTTTAATCATTTTCATTTCATTTCATTTAGTGCCTTTCAACGACGAAAGGAATTTATATTGAATGATTTGGAACATAAATGTTCAAATCATGTTGAATGGTTAGAAACATTCTTACAAGGAATTACTGGTGATATATTCAATTATGCTTGTGGTGAATATAATGAAGATAATGATAAATGTAAAAATATTATTGGCAAAATTAAACCATGGAAAAAACCATTAGAATGGAAAAGTTTCATTATACCAACCGTTGAGATTATTGATAGTCTTTAATAATACTGATATTAATAATGATGATGATTTTTTTTGCAAATAAAAAAAATAAATGATTTTTTCATTAACAGATTCATTGTCAAACATAGTATGAATGTGACAAAAAAAAAGTTGCAAGATGCATGAAAACACAAAACTTGTTAAACTTGACATTGAAATGAATTTGATGAGATCAGTAAACATACATGCACACATAGTGTCTTCTTCTTTTTCTTCATTTTTATGATGGTGCCTATGATTTACGTAATCAAAATTGTTGTTGAATGGTATATTTCATAATCATGTGAATAAATAGCGGATTTCCTAAATGTAAACGTTAAAACAAAAGGGATAATAAATTCATTTTGATGGTACCCCTTTTTCCTTTTTTAAAATTGAAAATTCAAACTATAAAAAGCAATGAAATCATCGATGACATTACCCACAAGATTTAAACAATGTTACGATCAATATCGATAATGTTAATGGTAACCATCATCATATATTTGATGGTTATTATCAACAACATTGATGCCGCATCAAAAACAAATGATTGTGATCGTAAAAAAGCTGATCAATGTTCATTGAATTTAATACCAATAACAAATGAAGAAATTTTAAGAAAATTACCAAAAACTATCGGTGATATTGATTCATATTGTGGAAAAATTAATCGTTATGAAAAATGTATGAGAAAATATGCTGAAAATTGTTTGAAAAAACAAACAAAACAAACATTATCGGTTATTATTTATAGTATTGGTCGTATGAATAAAAAATATTGTCAAAAAGAATCGAAAAAAAAATTATTACTGAATTTGATACAATGTTCAGGTCAAACAGCAATCAAATATTATAGTGATTTAATACAAAATGTATCCAATCAAATGCATGGTATTCGTACTTATTCGGATGTTAAACTTCGTATACCAATGGTTTGTTGGTAAGTTTATTTATTTGTGAATGTTGTTGTTTGAAAATGATGATTGATTTGTCATTGTTTTTGTCATTACAATTATAGTTTATATAATAAAATTTCAGCTGAAGCAATGGAATATTCGGATAAAATATGTCCAAAATATACAAATGAAGTTGATTCAATATTACGTGGTTATAGTGGTGATGCATTAAATTTACTTTGTGGTGAATATGGTGATGATTCGGATAAATGTGATTCAATTCTGACTAAAATACCTGATTGGAAAGGAAAAATTGAATGGAAAAGTTTTATTATGATGATTGCCATGTTGGTTGATAGTCTTGAATGATGAACCATATTAAATTACAATTCATTTTTTTTATTAAACAAAATAAACTTCAATAAATTTTTTTCAAAATTACAAAGCGAAAAAACCTTTTGGTTGAACATCGCTTGTTTGAAGAATATTCTTTTTGTTTTGTTTTTGAGGGGAGGAATCTCAAAGAACAATGAAATTCTCTCTCACACTTTCTTTCTTTCGGTGAATCTTGATCTGCGTTTGCAGATTAGATTCAAAGATTAGATGGTTTTGTGTGCCTTGCGATTCTATTTTTAATTTTGAAAAAAAATGAAAATAACAATTCCCAGTTCAAGTCGAAGCTTTATCGTTTTAAAACAAACATTGAAACTAAACTTTAATCATCATCATGATTTACCGAACAGATATCGGTTATTCAACAAATGATTGTGTGTGGCCATCAATATTTTTGTTATGTTTGTTTCAATTCAAAAAATAAAATCCCGTAAAATAAGGATGTAAATGTCAAAGGTTTATGTAGATGTTTGTCTGTCTATATATCTGATTCGAATGTTTACACTGTTTGTTTTTGGTTTCGACAAAACAGAAAAACCATCATCATCATCATCATCATCGTTAAATCAAGCAAAACAACGAAAAAAACCTGGCAATATTCAAAACATTCGATTGGAGAATATATTATTAAGAGAGAGCAGAAATCAAATGAACTGTAAGTGATGTTTTGGTTTGATGGTTTGGCAACAGCAACTATTCAACCGCAGAATATGATTTTTTCTTTCTTTCTTTCTTGGGCAATAAAAAGAATCGACAAATTCTTATTCTTTGTGCGTGTATGTTCTTCTGGTTTGTAATGTTCTTCTTCTTCTTATGATGATGGTGATATTTATAGACATTGTAGACACTGTGATTGATAAACTAAAACGAAAAAAAAATCGAATGATGACGATGATGATCATGAACATGTGCTTATATTTCGTTCGATTCGATCCAATTCATTAGTACATACACAGTGATCAAACGATCATTCGAAAATTCATTTGTTCATTTCCATCATTTACTGAATTGTGAACCATGAATTGATTATTGTGAATACAATTTATACTCATTAAAATGGTAAAACGATCCATAAGTCGTATATCGACTACAGGTGGCGGATCAATCGCTACAACTACTGGTGGTGGTGGTGGTACTGGATCCGGTATTGGATCAATAACCGGTAGTCAACGTGGTGGTGGTAGTACTAATCAAGCAACAACTACAATCACTACATGTGGAAAATGTTGTTATTATTTTCGTCAAGTGATAACATTTCTATTTTCACATATTGGTCTTTGTACCTTGTTATTAGGTTATGCATTGGTCGGTGCATTTACATTTCAAGCATTGGAATCCGTTCATGAAAAAGAACAACGTATTGAAATGAGAAAATCACGTGATCGATTAATACAACGTTTATCAAACCTGACAAATGAATCAATTATTCTTCGTTTTGAATTATGGACACGGAAAGCTGAAGATATTCTATTAGAATTTGAAAAAGAATTTCTTCATGCAGTCAAATATAAAGGTTATGATGGTTATGAAGAATTGAGTAAAACAAATTCACAATGGTCATTTTCAGGTGCATTACTTTATTCAATTATTGTGATTACTACTATTGGTTATGGTAATGTTGCACCACGAACAGGTGAGTAGTAAATTATCTGATTGATTAATTTTCATTCAATTTGATTGTCATTATCATTGTAGAATGGGGAAAAATTGTTACCATCCTGTATGCAATAATCGGTATTCCTTTAATGTTATTTTGTCTTTCGAATATTGGCCATATGATGGCACGTTCATTTAAATTTATTTATTGGAAATGTTGTTGTTATCTTTGTGTTAAACCAAAAAAACAACGTCGTAAACAACGACAACGACAAAGACAACGTCGACAACGACGACAAAGAAGACGTCAACGTCAATTAAGAAAACAACGACAACTACGTCGTGCTAAACAACAACAACAACAACAGGCTGCCATACATGCTACTGTTATGGCTATGAATCCACTGCTATTATCGAATGGACCGCAATCACAACAACAACAACAACCGCTGCAACAACAAAGAATTAGTCGTTCACAATCATCACAACGATCTGATGGTCGTCATAATGAAAAATGGTCGATTCCAGTTCCGCAAGAAAAATCACCATCATCATTATTGACTGCTTCCGTAGCTGATAATAATTCATCATCACCGAATACATTACAGCTACCAAGACGAATGATACTTTCAAGATCATTATCAGCACGTTATCATAATGAATTACGTGCTAGTAAATTACGAGCAATCAATAGATCATCAGCTCAATCAACGAAAATAGTACCGGTTCGAAAAACAACTGTCAATATGCCACCAGTTATATGTAATCAATATGCTTCGTTTAGTGATGAACGTTTAGATCGTGCTGTATTTGCGGCAAACAATTCGATTGTTGTCAAAAGACCAACTGTATTTCGATCCAGTTCAATGGGTAAATATAGTATTTTTTGATTCCGAGATAAAATTGTTATAATCTTTTTCTGTTCAATCTCAATGTGATAGCCGATAATGGAGCAGGCACAAGATCTCGTCAACAACAATTATTAAATGCTCAGGTTCGATTTGGTAACGGTCAAACAAAACAACGACCATCATCATTACAACCACCACAATCATCATCTGCTATACGACAATCAGCTTCATCATCAAATCTGATGACCAACAACACTAACGCCGCCACATTAATGAATCAACCGCAGCGATCGTTACAACAACAACGTTCAATACCATCATCAGATATGATGATGTTAATGGAAATGAATCATAATCATCATCAAAATCATCATCATCATCATATGACTACATTCCAATCGAGAAATCATTTGTACAATTGTACACAATCCAGGCCATTTGTACCGATCAATATTTCGGATCTAAGTGATGATGGATCTCGTGATTTTGATTCGAATCTAGATTCCGATTTGGATTTCAACGATGATGACGACGACAACGACAACGACAACGACGATGATGATGATGGTGAAGAAATTCAGGAAAAAAATATACCTATCACAGTTTGTCTGGCTTTAGTCATTAGTTATATTTGTGGTGGTGCATGGTTTTTTTCCACTTCAGAAGAATGGTCTTTTCTTGATGCATCATATTTTTGTTTTATAACATTATCGACAATTGGTTTTGGTGATTTAGTACCTGGTCGAACTGTACTATCGACACATGAAGATGGTCAAATGACATTAGCTATATGTGCATTATATCTATTGTTTGGTATGGCATTATTGGCCATGTCACTTAATCTGGTCAAAGAAAAAGTTCTTGAAACAGTACGTATTGTTGGCGAAAGAATCGGTATTCTGGTTAGCGATGATGACGATGATGATGATGACGAAGATGAAGATAACGACGACGATGACGATGACAACGATCAAAATAATAGCAATATTTACAATAGTGAATTAGAATTACCGTAAATTTATGAGTGGCATTTTTGCATCCATAGCTACTAATGGATGGCTGCTTTTTTTTAGAAAAAAATCTCAAAATGTATGCATTGTGATTATGATTATTCATTAGCAATTTTGCCATCAAAAGTCAACACAAAAATGATGGAACAAAATCGAACAATGTCAAGGCGATCTTCATCATCATCATCAATAACAATATCAAGTTCGGGTATTTCGGTCAATTCGATGACATTTTCATCAACATCTACATCAATACCAACATCACCAGAAGAATCATCACCTAAATCACCAGCAATATCGGTGATATATAAACCAACACAATATCGACCTTATTTCTTACGTCATACAAATTTGGATACAAAACATTTAACATTCGATCAAAATGTACATCTAGCACGAATACATTATTTACGACAAAATAATTTATGGCGCCTGATATTCATCAGTTGTTGTGTACCATTATTTTTTATTACTTCAAATAAAGTATGGAATGAATATGTTACACATAAAACAGTGGTAAATATGGAATTTATAACACCAAATTTGGTTAATATTCCATCCATTACATTATGTGTTCGACTGTAAGTCCAATATTTACCGAATGTATTATTTATTTCGATTAAAATCATGATTTTTCTCACCATTATAGCCATTTGAATGGTTTCGAAAATGGAACGGATTATTATTTGGATGGTGATCTTAATTTACATCATAAAATTCATCATCCTAATGGTACAATATCATCATGGAAAAATTCTTTAACCATTGAACAGGTAGTTAAACAATGTAAATTGTTTACAAATACAATTGTTTTGGTTAATAAAACAATGCCTGTTTATGATTGTGAATCAATTGTACCGATTGTAATAAGTTTTCAATATGGACATAAATGTTTTACATATTTTTCCGATATTTATGGTCATTGGAGTCGATTACCAATTGAAAAACGACCATATTTACAATATGATATGTTTCCTTCCATACAGATCATTTTAAATGAACATTTAATGAGTCAAAAAAATGGTACAAAATTTTCATTCGTTATGGATCATATTGACCGAGGAAAAAGTAATGCAACTTCGGTGTTTGTTATGATACATGAAAAAAATAACTTACCTGTAATGTTAAAAAATAGTATCCGTTTTGTTTTGCCTAACAATAGTATGGCTATATTTTATAGTGAAAAAAGTGAACTTCTTAAACCATATCCATTCGATACAAATTGTTTTGATGATTATGATTGTACATTACCAGATACATTGATTAATTGGAATGAAAATTTATTTCCATTACCATATGGATTTCATTCATCAGGTGAATGTTTTATTTATTGTCTTTCGAAACGTTTAAATGAAGAATGTATCAATTTTTATTCACTGTTAACTGAACGATGGATTGAACATCGATTACAAGATGCTGATAATAATTCCAATTCAATGATGATACCATTTTGTTCAATGAAACATATGTCATGTCAACATTCTGGTTATGGTAAACAATTGGATTATTGTCTGAAACAATGTAGACCATCTTGTATTCGAGAATGGTTTACAATGTCAAAGGTGAATAGTGAACCATATAATCTAACATCGATAACATTATATCGTTCAAATGAACCATCACATTGGATTGAACATGTTGAAGCAACATCATTAGAAACATTTATGGGTAATATTGGTGGTCATATGCATGTTTGGCTGGGTATTTCGGTTGTCGAAATATTCAATTATATTATACGTATTGTTCGTTTACGGCAATTTAGTGGAATTCTTTGCTGTTTGTTTATCCTGTTCAAACGATCAAGACGTCAACGACGATTACAACGTAGTATTTCACAATAAAACCATGACTACTAATGGAAAATGATTTTATTGAATTGATTTTTGATCAAAAATAAAAAATACAATTTTCAAAAAAAAAAATACTTTCATTTTGATTTTGATTACCGTTTGAATAGAATTATGAACGTTATTACCAAACAAAAATTCAATTGTTTTGTAATGAAACAAAACAACAACAACAACATTATAACTGGCCGAACATTAATTTGGATAATCATATGGATTATAACAACGATCGTTTGTTTATTGTTTATGTCCGATATTGTTTTACGTTATTTTGAACGTGAAACTGTTATATCGATTTATAATGAACAACCGGATGTTTTGAATGAATTACCCGCTATAACGATTTGTGCGGCCAATATATTCACACCTCGACAATTAGCCGGTATGCGGATTAATTGATTTTTTATTCTATTTTGCTTTATTAAAGGGTTATCCAATGTACAATGTAGCACTTTATCCTGAATTCAATGAAACTTATTATAGATTTATGGAAAAAATACAAAAAAATCATTTTCCCGATCAAAATGATTTAATTGAAAATCAACAACAATTTGATCGATTTGAATCAAAAGCATTTGAAGATTATACTGCTTATGAAGTGATTGTTGAAAAAAGTATTCAAATTGAAGATATTGTTGCCGGTTGTAAAGTATATCCGGTAAGTATACGCAATATGTTCGATAGTACTAGTTTGATTGAAGATCCATTATCGATCGATGGTGTGGAATGTAGTCAATTACAAGAATATATGCCCAGTATATATGAAGGACAAAAATGTTTTACATATTTTAGTTCAATGCATGAAATGAAAGATCGATGGTTACAATATATACCACCAATGTCTGATCTTGAACAATTGGTTTATCGATTATGTTTAAATGATTCATTACCATGTCAATGGCCAAATCGTCAATCAAATCGTACATGGAATCATCATCAACAAGATTCTTGGCAAATTTTTCATGATCTACAAACAATGATCAAAATCAATGTACGTATGGATATGGATACATTACATTTTCTTTCGGATAAAGCAATCAAATTGACCGGTAAGTTATATTGAAAGGAATTGTTACGATAATTGATGATCATTGATTTTTTTTTGTTAGTTCATTCATCAAATACATTGATCAATAAACGTAAATATAAATATCTACATATAACTGGACCATATCTTTATGAAGTAGTTTTTACCAGACAAATAACACAATTATTAAATCGACCATATCGACCATATTGTAATCATTATGGTAAATATAGTGAAAATCCCAAATTACGTGTATTCCACACAAGTGAAGAATGTCGTAATTATTGTATTAAAAATCATTTAACAAAAATATCAAATTCATGTCAAATTTATTATAATGTTTTATCTGCATCAACAATTTTTGAACGATCATTTCATAATGAACATATTTGTTCACATGATCAACAAAATGTTAGCCTTTATTTATTGGCAAAACAAAGCTGTGAAACAGTTTGTCCGGAAGAATGTCAACAATCAATTTATGAAATATCTAGTTATCGATCATTTAGTCGTGAATTATTGGATTGTAAGTATATTAGCCCTTCAACAACAAAAAAAAAATCATTTTAATGACAATTATCCAATCCGACCAAACAATATAGGTAACGATGAACAACAAAAATCAAAATGTTTTGCTCAAGTTTATATACGACCTTCAACACAACCATTTCAACGAATTCAACATCGTGTTGCTGTTTCATATGAAGAATTAATTGGTACTATTGGTGGTGATATGGGTATATTGCTTGGAATGTCTATATTTTCATTCATTTCATTGACCGTATCATGTTTACAACGATGTTTAGTCAAAATGGTATATGGTAGCCCAACGATGATCATGATGAACAATGGCTAAACACAATGATTATGATAATATCGACATTAGCACCATACAACAAAAAACATTGATTTTTTTTCTCCCTCTTCCCCTCTCTCAATATTTATTATTTTCAATAATGGTGCCAATCGGATTAAATCAGTATTTCAAAGAGAAAAAAAAACTTGAAACGAATCCAATTATCGATCTGGTTTTTTTTCTGTTGTTGATGTTTGGCAACAACCAAAAAGGATTGTAGTTAAACAAGCAATTTTTGAAAAAAAAACAGATTGAACAGGTTCTATATTTAGAATAATAATAATAATTCCTATTGAATGACAGATGCCTTGTGTTTTGTGATCGATACACGGAAAGAAAAAAAAGAGTTTTTTTATTTGCAATTAAATTCAATTACAGTATTTTTTTTTCTGGTTGATCCATATCCACTGAATAGGAATGGATTTTTTATTTTTAAAAAAATGTAGAGCATTATGTCCTGTTCTAGTTTTTTTTTTGTTTTCTCGATCATCATCATCAACAACAACATTGATGATGATCGAGGGTTGACGATAACGACGACGACTCTGTCTCTCTCTCTCTTTTTTTTTAAATTGAAACTTGCAACCACCAGTATAAATGCAATGATCATTAAAGCAATATTCAGTTAAATGATGTTCAAAATTCAATCGATAAACATGGTTACATCAAAACATAATCATCAAACATTTACATTGATTATGATGATAATAACATTGATAACATTGATAACAACAATATTATTACCAAAAATTGATGCATGTTCCTGTTTGGCAAATGTTAATCAACCACAATATTGTAATACGGATTTTTTTGCTTTACTTCATATAACCGGTAAGTGATATCTATAGTGATGGACAATATTCGGTTTGAATAATCAATAATCAATCAAAAACAGATGAAAAAATGGATGAAAAATCAATGAATTTAGTATATCATTTTCAACCGTTAAGTATTATCAATGATAAACAACGATTATTGAATACATATCGAACGCTGCATACATATGCATCATCAGCTGCATGCGGTATAAAACTTAAACCTGGTGATCGTTATCTGATTGGTGGTAATCTGGATCGTGAAAATGATCGTAATCGACTATTATTACATCTTTGTAGTTCATATGTTGAACATTATGTACGAGGATTAGCTGTATTGACTAAAGATTTTCATAGCCTGCTACAAAATTGTCGATCATTTGATGATAAAACTACATCGGTTATGATTGATAACGAAGTTGGAAATAAAGAAATTGAATCTGTTGACCACCAGCAACGAAATAATACAAATCATCAATTGGAACGAGAAGGAACACCAATCATCAGTTTTCCACAATGGGGCCTTACCGAAGATGATATTATTCAACGACGATCAAGACGTCGACAACAACGAAAGAATTATAAATCTCAATAATAATAATCTGATAATCACACACACACAAACTATTTATTTATTGAATGATTTGATTTGATGTTTTTTATTATTATTATGTGAATATGACAAAAGAAAAAATTGTAAACATTTTGATGCAATGTTGACGAAAAAAAAAGAACAGAATGACCCAGTTTTTCTCCAAAAATATATTCGATCGATTGATTTATGTCACATATCTAAATGAAAATCGTGATAAACGATTATATGACATATTTGAAATTTGAAAAATGGTCAGTATTTTTTTTGTGATTTTCATAAAAGAGAATTTGCAAATAATTTCAATGTTGTTGCATTATTATTTTCATTATTAATAATGGATACAATATCATATAAGCGATCACGTTGTTGTATTGAATCAAAATGTGTACATTCTAAAATACGATTAGCCATTTCATACAAATGAATTAATTCTTTTGTTTGTTGTACTTTAATTTGTTGTTGTTCGATAAGTAATTTTTCTGGATCTTCATTTTCCGAAAGTTTAAATACTTCAGCAAATGCTAAATTTGCAAGAAGAACTGTTGATATTTCATTTGTTGTTGTTGTTGTTGCTGTTGGACAATGATTATTATGATGATTGAAACGTATGAATACTGAATTAGCTAATAATCGTCCATGAAAGATATGATTTTCATGTAACCGTAACAGTGTATTGGCAACTGATCGTAATATAAAACAAGATGATTCATATGGTATAAGTGAAACTGGTCGAAATGTTTTCGAATAACTAGAATAATTTGGCAACATATTATCTTTATGACGAAGAAGATATTCATCCAATGTTTCATCTGGACTATCCATAAATAAATAGAATATATTTGGTACACGACAACAAATAGCATACATTTGTACTAAACCATAATGTGCATTTTGTTTAACTAAATCAAATTCTTTCATTAATTGATTACGAATACGATGTTGAGCGGTAACCGATAATGAACCTGATGTTGAACTAATATTTACATATTTAACAAATATACGACTTAAACGTTTAAATGGTCGATGTTGATCATAATGATGAAAAAATTGTGCAGCCACCTGAAAACGACGCATCGAAAATGTATCTTCACATTCGGCTTCATAATAATAACCAAGTTCAGCACTTGAATGTTGATGCGGGCTAAAAACAATATCCATGACCATGAAAAATGCACGATCTTCTTCCGGTATATTTGATGATAATCGATTAGACGCTGTAATCATTATTATTATTATTATTATCGATCAATAAGATTTGGTCAAAAAAAAAATTAATGTAATAATTTTGTATTTTTGAAACAATCTGAAATGAGAAAAACAAAAGTCAATCAATAAAAATCGATCGATCGATTTACTTACTTATTTTCTTAGTTCGAAATTTGAATTTTAGAACAAAAACAATCAATAATAGAAAAAAAATGAAATATTTTTTTTTCCCAAAAATGGTGAGAAAAAAAATGACGAATATTTGAAATGAATTTCAAAGTAAAGTGTGGTTTTTCACAGAAATTTGTCTCTCCCTCTCTCTCTCTCGCTTGGTTCGATGACGGGAATGAGCAATAAATTATCAATCAACAAATTATGATTACACGTAGTACACCATACAAGCACAAAAATCAGACAGAACCTTGGACAATATTTTGAAATGTCGGCCATTTGACATTATTGTTTGTCGATCGATCGATCGATTGATTGATTGATTGGATTCGGATTCATACACACAGTATATAAATGACTGTTCAAATGATCTTTTTTGCGACAAAAAAAGTTTTTTTTTGCCAAGACAAAAATGATTGCCGATAATAATAATAATAATGATAATTGTGAAAATCAACAACAACTAAATGTTGCAGCTAAAGATGATGATTCATTGGTGTTGGTCAAATCAAATTTCAAAATGAAAATCGTATGGCGTAATGTAATCATAATGAGCATAATACATGTATTTGCTATTTATGGATTTATATGGACAAAAGCTAAACTTATGACATTTTTTTGGACATGGTTAATGGTATTACTTAGTGCATTTGGTATATTGGCCGGTGCACATCGATTATGGTCACATCGATCATATAAAGCAAGATGGCCATTACGATTATTATTGATGATAGGTCAAACAATTGCATTACAAAATGATATCTATGAATGGTGTCGTGATCATCGTGTTCATCATAAATATTCCGATAC